TCACTGAGATTTAAGGTTATGGAACTGTTTATGTGTAACTGTGTAGTAGAGATCAAGCTCCTTGAAGCTGAAAATACATTAAATCTGAATAGGTTAAATAAGGTTAAATAAAACATTTTTACCAAATGTTTAGGTAAGAAAGAGTTCATGTAACTTCCCCAAGGCAAATTTTTAGTCACCTGTGCAGTGCGGGAAGCCTGACTACTTAGTCATTCTTATTTCAAGGATCTATCAAATATAGAAATTTCAAGTATATAATTGTCAAGTATGTATTACTTTTGCAAAAAGTAGCTCAAATACTCCTGTAATAGATAATCACATGTACATTATAGATAGTGTATTCATTGTATTACATTCTTGGAATTTATAATCTAATTGATTTGGTAAAGGGTTAGTATACTCCCGATGAGCTAGAAGAGTCTAAGCAGGTCATTTAATACACATCATCACTGAATCATCAAAGTCATGATAATAAAAAAGCTATTATTTACTTGTCTTGGTATTTGATAATAGTAATACTTACTTTAATACAAATAAACATCACAAATATTTTAAAGATATTATCTTGTTTTACTTATACAGAACACAGGTATTTTTATTCTGTAATACTCCCAAACTAAAATGAACAAACTTTTTATAGGTGATTAGCAATTTAGGTGAGCTTCTTGCTTTTGATATTATCAAGGGTTTAAAATAATAAAACCTTAATATAATTTTTAAAGTTCCAGTAACTGAAAATGACACAATAGCATAGCTTGCTCACACTGTCGTTACCCCAAAGTAAACTGTCTAGCAGTATCCAAAAGACTGAGGCAAATACAGACAAGGAGCTTGAGTTAAAAAGACTGGATGTAGTCATCAAGTATCTACTCAAAGTTCCTCAATGCACTGTGGACTTGTCCTGCGAGGCCCACACTGTTGGGGTGGTGCGATGACAGCATTCTTCGACAAGAAGCACTGGAGACAAGTTTCAGTGAACATGTCCATTGACTAACAATCAGGCACAATCTTTTAAAGGGCAGGCAAAGAGGAGTAGTTAGTTCAGCGCAGCAACACTAATTCTATAGGATAAGCAGATACTGGTGTCTCTACCCTTCTCCAATCAGCTTGAAGGTCATGTAGCCTACTTAGCCTTCCAGGTGCTCTTTATGGGTCTGGGCCACATCCAGGAGCTATTTACCTAGTTGACAATTACAAGGCTCTTCAACAGGAAGTGGGAGTGGGGAAAATCCAGCAGTCAGGTCACATGTGGATCCCAGTGTGCTGAGCCGCTGAGCAGGGTCTTTCCTGCCAGGCATAGCATGCCATGCCTTTTTTTTTTTTTTTGAGTAGACAGTGAGAGAGAGAGAGACAGAGAGAAAGGTCTTCCTTTTCCGTTGGTACACTTCCCAAATGGCCGCTGCGGCCGGCGCGCTGCGACCGGCGCACCATGCTGATCCGAAGCCAGGAGCCAGGTGCTTCTCCTGGTCTCCCATGCGGGTGCAGGGCCCAAGGACTTGGGCCATCCTCTACTGCCCTCCCAGGCCACAGCAGACAGCTGGACTGGTGTAAGACCTGAGCCTGGATCAAGGTGCAACTATTTTAAATTAGGCCTCCATCTTGTAACCTGGGCCTGACCAGGCCCTGAACCCTGAGCCAGAAGCTCCTAAAAGTAAATAAATGAACTCCCCTTGCAATAAACTCTCCTAGCAACAGCCGATTAGCAGATAACAGAAATACCTAGAGTTCCTGGTGTCTTCTCAGGGCAGATAAGGTGACTGATAGCTTCCTGAGACTCTGCAGTTCAGCACGTCCACCCCAGCAGCTCAGACTCTATGCTTCGGCCAATCAATTTAAAAAGCATCAACCCCAAAGCCATCCAACCGGTTACCTTTACTAGGTCCGTTCCCACCACTGGATGCACTAATCAATTCTAAGAGATGTCCTTTGAATTTCCCACGGGATGAGATGATTTGCTAAATGGTACCATAATGTATAGAATGTCTCTGAAAACCCTGTAAAAACCCTGTTACCTGAAGGGTTGGGGCTCTCAATTCAAATCCGATGCGTTGGTAATAGTTGAGAGCCCAGGCCCGGACCTGTCATAAAACTCATGTGTTTTACAGCGGTTTCGGCTCCTTGGTGGTCTTTGGGGACAATTGAACTGGGCATAACACTGGAAGAGGAGCAACCAGGACAGAACCGGTGCCCCGATCGGGACTAGAACCTGGGTGCAGGTGCCGCAGGCAGAGGATTAGCCTAGTGAGCCGTGGTGCCGGCCATGCCACGCCCTCTTAACCTCCTGCAGGGGTTAGGCAGGTAGTCCCCCAGCCAGGCACAGGATCACTTACAATACACTGAAATAATTAAGGACTCTTTGGTCTCTGAAAAAATAAAAATTGCCTTTCAAAGTTTTTTTTTTTTTTTTTCCTCTCCCAGGGCATAAAAAAAGCCTTACTTACTGAATGCATCTCTCTTTTGAGAATTCTAAAGTAGTGCAAAACAACCAAGCACCACATTTCCATCTATCAATGTTTCTACCAAAGTGCAACAAGGAGGAAAAACAAGTCTACACAAAAACTAAAAAATGAGGAAAAAAAAAAAAGGACATAGAAATGGGACTAAGGTTGATCTAGTGAGAAAGCATAAACACATCTTTAATCTAAAAATAGTTAAATTGAAAAAAAGTAACACATATGATAGGGAAAGTCCTAAGCATCACATGTGATATAAGGGAATAGTCAGAAAGTCACAGCTCCAGGGAGTGCAGTGGAGGATGGCCCAGGTGCTTGGGCCCTGCACCCCATGGGAGACCAGGAAAAGCACCTGGCTCCTGGCTCTTGCAATCGGATCAGCGAGGTGAGCCGGCCGCGGTGCGCCGGCCGCAGCGCGCCAGCCGCGGTGGCCATTGGAGGGTGAACCAACGGCAAAGGTAGATCTTTCTCTCTATCTCTCTCACTGTCCACTCTGCCTGTCAAAAAAATAAATAAATAAAAAATAAAAAAAAGAAAAAAAAAAAAGAAAGTCACAGCTTCTAGGAGAAAAAAATGGTTTAACAATCCCCACCACCAAAAAAAAATAATAAATAATAAAAAATAAAAAAATAAAAAAAAGAATCACCCATTGGTGAAACGTAAAAGAAGCAAAAGATAAATGTAGAGTCATGCAAGATAAGAAATTCACAAAATCAGAGGACACAAAACCCTTCCACACTAACCAAAACAAATAAATCCACTTAAGTATCTGGACTTTGCTCTACTGACAGAAGAGTATCATTATAAACTAGGAATGCTATAAAACACTACAATACCTCCTGATTTCAGCCTGGCCCAGACCTGGTTGCTGTGGCATTCGGGGAGTGAACCAGTAGATGGAAGATCTCCCCACCCCAGCCTTTCAAATAATAAATAAATAGTAGATTTTAGGTAATAAGTAGGAAAACACATGGAAAGATGGATGTATGATACAGATTTAAAGAACAAAAAAATTGGGAAGTATGAGAAAGATTAATGCATAAACATTATATGTTTTAACAAAGTAAAAACAATGCAACGAAAAATGGGAGAAAGGAAATTTGAATAGGCAGTAGGTAAAGCCCAAAGTATACTAATACAAAACTGAAAAACGACATAAATAGGCTAAATAAGGAAACAAGAGACTGTGGTTATTTAAAAAGGAATAAATACAAAGCCACTAGGACAAAAATGTAAATTTTCCTGAAGATGTATGTGTGTGTGTGTATATGCAGTCTTCAAACATCTATATTTGAGCAATCTTTAGAAAGTTTTTTAGAAAAAAACTATCAATGGATTTCAGGATTTTTTTTACAACACAAAAAGCATCTTTTTAAAATTGGCTTTTATTTGAAGAAGAGAAAGAAGAAAGATACAGAAACAGAGACCTTCCATCATCTATTTCACTATTCAAATGTCTCAAATGTCTGCAACAGCTGGAGGTGGGCCAGGCTGAAACTGGGAACCAGGTAGTCAATCCAGATTTCACACGTGGGTGGCAGGGACTTAAGCCATCACCTGCTAACCCCTAGGGAGCACATTAGCAAGAAGCTGGAATCAGATAGAGCCAGGACTCAAAACAAGGTATTTCAAAATGGAATGTGTTATCTTAACGACTGCACCAAATGCCTGTCCCTAAACTTTTCTTTTAACTCCATTTTCCATGCATTTTTAAGCCCCCTCATATATATGTATATGTAACAAAGAATACACATTTTATAGTAAAGCATAGCAAATATAACAATATACACATAATTATAAGACTGTGATGAAACTGAGAACAATTCATGTAAATAAATGGAAATGGGCATAATCTACTTACTAAAAAGTATTTTCAATTTTACAGAGCATAATCCAGCTCTTTTGTATACAAGAAACACAAAAGATAAATGAAGAGAGAGAATATTATGCCAGGAAAATGAAAACAGGAAGAAATGATCTAGAAAAATGGAAACAGTGAGTAAAGCATCTTCAATATTAGAAAAGTAAAACTTAAGCCCCAAAGCCAAATGACATGACAGGAAGGATGTTTTAATTTTAAAGTGCAGAATGATACTATAACTGTTAAAGAGCATTTATTACCAAGTAATAGCCACCTTTATAAAGTAAAAACTACAGATGGATGAAAGGAGATAGAAACAGAAATAGTAGGAGTAGGAGACTTTAATATTCCACTCTCACTAGGAGACCAATCAAGTGGACAAAAGTAAGGAGAGATAAGACTTAAAATAATTAACAAAGTAAAATTTTATTAACATATGTCAAACTTAAAGAGCATGCTTTATTTTCAGTCACCCATTGCACATTCATAAAATTAATCTATATTGTCAAAAATGAATAAAATTCAAAAAGGAGAAATATAACAAATATCCTACTACTAAGCAGTTAAACTGGGTATTGCTAATAAAAAATGTATTCATTTTTGTCAGGCAAACAAAATGTATGTGTGCAATATTTCTGCAATTAGCCAACACAGTCTTTAGGAAAATAGAAAGCACAGGCACCTACCGTATGTGCCTGGCATAGCGTTTCAGAGATTATCAGATTTGTTCCTTGTCCTCAAGAGACATAAATCTGGCAGACAGAAAATAAACATAAACAGAAAATTACATTAAAATGAGGCTCTCAATATTAAGTGTTAATTGCACTGATAAACTGTGGGCTCTTGCTCTTCCCTGTTACCTGTTGCTACATATATATAATCACTCTAAGAATATACCTATTTATACTTATATTTTAGTAGATTTATTTATTTATTTTAGTAGATTTAGTAAATTTTTATCTTTTAGTAGAAAGGAGCCAAGAACATTCATTTGACTCCAGTGTTTCCAAAAAAAGAAAAAAAAAAAGCTGATGACGAGGCAAATGAAATAAAGCGCAAAATACAAAAGTGAATCTGGGCAAAGAGTATATGGTTTTGGGGCCAGCGCTGTGGCATAGCAGGTAAAGCCGCTGCCTGCAGTGTTGGCATCCCATATGTGCACCTGTTCTAGTCCTGGCTGCTCCACTTCCGATCCAGCTCTCTGCTGTGGCCTCGGAAAGCAGCAGAAGATGGCCCAGGTCCCTGAGCCCCTGCACCGACATAGGAGACCCCAAAGAAACTCCTGGCTACTGGCTTCAGATGGGTGCAGCTCCGGCTGTTGCAGCCATTTGGGGAGTGAACCAGCGGATCAAAGATCTCTAGCTCTCTGCCTCTCAAATAAATAAATCTTTTTTTTTAAAAAAAGAGTATATGGTTTTTGCTTGTGCTTTTTTATCTTGGCAACTTTTGAGTTTCCAAAAGTTTGATGGTAAAAAAGAAATGATCGCTGCAGAAAATCAATTCCTTCTTAAAAATTAATCTTTGATATTCAAGAGGAAAAAACTCAAGATCTTCAATTTTTCATAGTTTACCTTTACATGGTTCAATCTATTTGACCCTTCCCTGGCTGGGCTTTATTTTTCTTTGCAAAGTCCCATTCATTGTTAAAATATCTGTTTCTAGAACTATTCTAAATATTTCGAAAAATACAAATCCTCCTTTTTCTTTTAGAGTGAGCTTTTGGTATTTAAAAAATATTACATAATACAACTCACAATTTCAAAAACATGTATATACTTAAGACAATCTTTGAAATCGAGAAATTACTTGGATTTACTATTTGACTAACAAAGCTGAGGTTCTTAAAGAGCTTGATTGTGAGGTGAAAGGAGAAGCGGAAGGAGGAGGCACAAAGCAGAACCGACCAGGTTTCCAGGGAAGTCAGGTATGGCGTTTTACAGGTACAGAAAAAAAGCGGGAGTTCACGCCACAGCGACAAAACGTTTAAAAAAAAAAAAAAAACGTTTAAAACAAAAGGAATATTATTCTCTTGGAAATAGCAGGCTTATGATAAAACTATTCGTTTTTTAACTTACCCCAAACTAACTTCCAATACGTGGCTGTAACCAGTCAGCTAGCGATGACAAGAATCAACGGTTTGGTCACGACGACGATCAACTGGATCAACTGGATCAACTGCCTCGTCTCGTCGAAAGGACCAATTATCTCCTTAAGAGGACCAGCTCGCCTGAGAAGGAATAATGGTTTCCTCAAGATCAAACTGTCCGCAAAAGAAATTGCGGCCTCTTCAGGAAGACCGATATTCTCCTCAGACGGACCAGCGACCCACTCAGGAGAACGGGCGCCATATTCTTTCTCGGCTGGGTCTACCGGAAGATCTAATTATCCCCACCCTCCCCTGCCCGCAGCTGGAGTCGAATGACAGAAGTTCTGGCCAATGAAACATGGAGCATACGAACCACTTCCGTGTACAAATCCTCCTCCAGTATGTTTGTAACATAAAACATTGTTTCAAAATAAGGGAACATGGCGGATCCATGCTTTTACATCGCTGAGCGCAAAGAGGGTGGGCTGCCCTGGAAAAACAACAGATGTTCTTTGACTTTTTATGGCCTCTTGCTTGCAATCCAGCTGCAAAGAATCCACTCTGAGGCCCAAAAGGTTGGCAGAGTCATGTAATAGACGTACCTGATAGATCGTACTCAACTGTGAAGCAATAAATCAGCTTTTGTTAACATTCTACCCACCACACACTTCCCCTTCCACTGCACCTCACACCCCTGCTCCCACAAACACCTTTACCCCCCTACTCCGAAAACTCTATCACTTGGAGTTGTTTTGAGAACAGTGTCTGGAACGTGGTGTTACAATAGTTGTTCCCACTGTTTGGAAGACTTTCTCAGCTACAAAGGGGTTTACTAGCTGTATAGCCCAAGGACAGCTCGCTCGCTCGCTCGCTCACACTCTCTCTCTCTCTCTCAGGTTCCATTATTCATCTGAAAACGGGGATAACATATTTAACAAATATTTGTTGAACGGCTAAGATACACCAAAGAGTTTAGGTTGAGGACAAAAACGTTGAAGGAGATCAGTAAAATATCTGCTTTCGTGGTGCTTACCTTCTAGTAGAGAGATAGGTTATAAATATAAAAACAACTAATTATAGGAAATAAATAATAAAAATTGCATGAGGAATGTAAGCAGCGTGGTGCTGGCATTGTGGTGCGAAAGGCTAAGCCACTGCTTATGACACCAACATCTCTTATGAGTGAGGTCTGAGTCTCGCTCCTCTGCTTCCAACCCAGCTCCCTGTTAAAATGCTGGGAAGGCAGAAGAGGATGGCCCAGGTGTGGGGCCCCTGTCTGCCACCTGGGTGGGGAACACAGACATAGTTCCCGGCTCCTGGTTTTGGCCTGACCCAGCCCTGGCCATTGTGGCCTTTTGGGGAGTGAACCAGCAGATGGAAGATTCTCATTCTCTCTCTCTCTCTCTCTCTCTCTCTCTCTCTCTCTGTAACTTTGCCTTTCAAACAAACAAACAAATAAATAAATTTTTTAAAAGAATGCAAACAGTGGTAATCAAAGGTTTGAGGGATTACAGCTAATTTAAGGGAAAATGCTTCTGATTTCTCACTGTCAAGATACTTTTGTAAGTATCCTTTATCAAGTTGTTGATCTTCCTGTATACTTCTTGTGTACTAGAGTTTTATCACAAATGAGCATGGATTTTGTTGAATATTTTCGTGCATCTATTCATATGGCAATGTGATTCTTCTTTTAACTTGTTAATGTGATGGATTACATTAAGTGATTTTCTAATGTTGAACCCCATTTGCTTAATTTGTAGGAAATCTCCCTTGGTCATGGTGTGTAAATATTTTTAAACATTATTGGATTTGATTTGGTAATATTTTGTTGATTAGTTTTACATTGATGTTCATTAAAGTTATTGGGGCTTTCTTACAAGGCCTTATTTGATTTTAATATTATTGTGGTACTGGTCTCACAAAATGAGTTGAAAATATTACCTCTGTGTCTAACTTTTGAGAAAGCTTGCAGAGAATTAGCATAATTTATTCTTGAAATGTTCAATGGAATTCACCAGTGAACCCACCTGGGCCTGGTACCTCCTTTCTAGAAGACTTTTTATTATCGATTCAAGGTTTTGTTTTGTTTTTTTTTTTTTTTAAGTGAAATAGACATAACCCTATCCAGATTGTCTATATTTTGCTTTATGAATTTTGGAAGATTGTGTATTTCAATATGCTCCATTTCATCTTTGTTATCAAATCTGTGGGTATGGGAGCAAGTGTGTAGCCTAGCGATTAAGAAGCCAGTTAAGATGCAGTGTCCTGGGCCGGCGCTGTGGCACAGTGGGTTAAAGTCCTGGCCTGAAGCCCCAGCATCTCACATGGGTGCTGGTTCACATCCCAGCTGCTCCACTTCCAATCTCTGCTATGGCCTGGGAAAGCAGTAGGAAATGACCCAAGTACTTGGGCCCCAGCACCCACGTGGGAAACCTGGAAGAAGCTCCTGGCTTCGGATTGGCACAGCTCTGGCCGTTGTGGCCATCTGGAGAGAGAATCAGTGAATGGAATACACCTCTCTCTGTCTCTGCCTCTCTCTCTGTAACTCTTTCAAATAAATAAAATAAATCTTTTTTTTTTTTTAAAAAAGATGCAGTGTCCTACATTAGAGCTCTGGCTCTTGACTCCAGATTCCTACCAATGCTAACCCTTGGAGGCAGCGGTAGCAGCTCTGATAAAACTCCTCTATTTTTTGGCATTGGTTCATCTATGGTTAACTAGCTTTTCTTGATAAAATATCGGAGACCCATGTCTTAATCCATTTTATGCTAATAGAATATCTAAGACTGGATAATTTATGAAAAACAGAAAATTTTTTCTCATAGTCCTGGAAGCTAGGAAGTCCAAGATTAAGGTGTTGGTATCTGATGTGGGCTTTGTTACTGCATCTACATGGTGAAGACATCACATAGTAGAAGGGTAAAGAAATAAAAAGAGAAAGAATGCAAAAAAGAGATAAATTTGTTCTTTTATAACTGCATTAATCTCCCCAAAAAGGGTGTAACCCTCTGACTCACTATACTTTCTCATGATCTAATCACTTTTCAAAAGCCCAAATTCCTGGCACTGTTACAATGACAATTAAATTTCAACATGAGTCTTACAGGGACAAACATTCAAGCCATAGCAAAATCTTCTAGACTCCTCTCCTGTTCTAGGGATGCTGGGTGGCTGCTACAAGGACTTATTTTTAAGTTACGGAAGGAATATGAGAAACAGTTATTTAGGCAAAAATTAATATTACTGTTTCAAGAAAAAAGACTAGCTTATACAAAGGGTGAAAGAGAAAGGTGAAAGAGAAAGAAAGCCTCATATTGATTTGAGTCAACATAAAAAAATGGTTTCAAAAAAGCTGAGACTTGCTATATATGAGAAAACAAATGAAAGTTCCTTCTTCTGTTATTATAGCTTCTTGACCAGAATATCTGATGAGGGTGTCCCAAGGTACATTTCATTTAACCCACCAGATTTAAGCTGTTTGCACATGGCAGTGAAATAATTTTCCATAGATGTTTGAAAACAATCCTTTCAATGGAAATAGGGGAAAAATCGTTAACTGATTTGGAGACAAAACAACCAAATTATTCAATTTCTTTCCTGAGGAATAGAACAGTTGATATGTTGATTGAGAGAAGCTGTGTTTCCTCCTAGCCCTAGAGAAGGAAAGAGTTTCATTTTTATATTTGATATATTCCCTCTGAATGGGGAGGCATTTCATCACTTCATTTCTTGTTGTGGTGTCATTTCATTTCTCTTAAATTAATTATCTTCTTCCTCAGCTTCCCTCCCACTCATTTAAGGGGGTAGTTAGGGGGTATTCTAAGGTGGCCTCTAATGCGCTCTAATGCGTAAGGTCAGAGGACCAGAATCAGGAAGTGAACTCTGTAGTTTCCTTTCATTATAACATTAAAATCACCACTTTGATGTTTAAAATCAGTGGTTTATAGTGCACTCACCGTGTTACATAACTACAACCATTTTATAATTCAAGAATCTTTCCACTTCCTTTCCCCTCAAAAAACAAAAACAAACAAACAAACAAAAATTCAGACCAGCATCATGGCATATGTTTGCCAGTTTTGTTCTGGCTGCTCTACTTCCACTCTACCTCTTGCTAATGGCCTGGAAAAAGCAGCAGAAAATTGTTCAAGTGTTTGAATTCCTGCACCCAAGTAGGAAACCTGGAAGAAGCTCCTGGCTCCTGGCTTTGGCCTGAACCAGTGAATGGCAGATCTCTGTCTCTCCCCTCACCCCTCTCTTTTTTTCTATTTTTTAAATAATGTGTCTTTTTTTGTGAAGATTTTATTTATTTGAAAGTCAGAGTTACACAGAGAGAGATGTCTTCCATCTGCTAGTTCACTCCCCAATTAGCCACAATGGCAGGAGCTGTGTCAATCCGAAGCCAAGAGCAAGGAGCTCCTTCTTGGTCTCCCACGTGGGTGCAGGGGCCCAAGGACTTGGGCCATCTACTGCTTTCCCAGGCCACAGCAGAGAGCTGGATTGGAAAATGGAGCAGCCAGGACTTGAACCAGCGCCCACATGGGATGCCAGCACCACAGGTGGCAGTTTTATCTGCTATACCACAGCGCCAGCCCCTCTCTCTATCAAAATAAATAAATAAATATTTTTTAAAAATTCATTCTTATTGAGGCCAGTGTTGTGGCACAGCAGGTTAAGTCACTACATATGATGCCAGTCTCCCATATCAGAGTGGTGGTTCCAGTCCCAGCTACACTATTTCCCATCCAGGTTCTTGCTAATACACCTTGAAAAGCAGTGACAGGTGGTTCAAGTGCTTGGGCCTCTTCCTCTTCCACTCATGTGAAAGACCTGACTGGAGTTCTAGGCTCCTGACTTCTACCTGGCCCAGTCCTGGCCATTGCAGCCATTTGTGGAGTGAAACAGCAGATGGAAGAACTCTCTCTCCCTCTGCCTTTCAAATAAATAAATCAACATATCTTTGAAATCTCATACCTATTAACATGCAAGGCCAATTTCAATTGCTGCTTTCTTGATAATTAATTAATTAGTAAGTAATTAATGGCAATCATTTATCAGTTTCTGTCTTATGGAATTGTCTATCATGAATATTTCAGGTGCATGGAATTGTACAATATGTGGTGTTTTGTATCTGGCTTTTTTCTCTTAGTTGCCCTTTGCCTATGAGAAAGAACATTCCACATGCAGGACTTGGCTTCTAGGATAGGCCTCCATTTTCTCCTGCCACCAGAGTACAAGTCACAAGGAATCAGGT